GCCTGCAGCAGCCGCCAGATGCTCTGCGCCTCGTCGAGCGTCACCTCGAGCAGGTCGCCCTCCATCATGAGCTCCTCGAGCGGGCGCCGCGCGCCCTCGGGCAGCTCCAGCACCGGCCCCTGCAGCCGCGGCAGCGCCGCGCTCAGCGCCTCCAGCTCTGCGGGCGACGGCGGGGGTCAGGGGGGGCCCGGGGACCCCAAGGTGGGGTCAGGGACACCCCATGGACCCCAAGGGGGGGGTCAGGGGTGCCCCACGCACCCCAAGGGGGCATCAGGGGTGTCCCACGCACCTCAAAGGGGGGTCAGGGGTGCCCCATGGACCCCAAGGGGGCATCAAGGGTGCCCCATGCACCCCAAGGTGGGGGTCAGGGGTGCCCCGTGGCCCCCAAGGGGGGGTCAGGGCGCCCTGAGGACCCCAAGGGGGCATCAGCGGCGCCCCGTGGACCCCAATGGGGATGTCAAGGGGGTCCAATGCCCCAAGGGGGGGGATCAGGGGCACCCTGTGCACCCCAAGGTGGGGTCAGAGGTACCTCATGCAGTCCAAGGTGGGGTCAGGGGCACCCCATGAACCCCAAGGGCTCCTATGGGGTTCCCATGGGCCCCATGCATCCTATAGGACTCCCATGGGCCCTCCAGTGTTCCTATGGGTCCTATAGGGCTCCCATGGGCCCCATGGGTCCTACTGGACTCCCACGGGCCCTACAGGGCTCCTATGGGTCCTATAGGGCTCAAATGGGCCCCACGCGTCCTATAGGGCTCCCACGGGCCCCATGGGTCCTACTGGACTCCCACGGGCCCTACAGGGCTCCTATGGGTCCTATGGGGCACCCACGGGCCCCATGGGTCCTATGGGGCTCCCACAGGCCCCATGGATCTTATAGGGCTCCCATGGGCCCCATGGGTCCTATAGGGTTCCCACAGGTCCTTCAGGGACCTGTGGGGTCCTATAGGGCTCCCATGGGTCCTACTGGGCTCCTATGGGTCCTGTGGGGCTCCCGTGGGCCCTCCAGGGCTCCTATGGGTCCTATGGGGCTYCCATGGGCACCCCCGGGTGCCGTGGGGGTCCCTACCTGAGGCCATCGTCCCGTTGCGCTCGGGGCTGGCGGCGTCGCCGTTCTCAGCCACGGCCTGCGAGGAGGAGGAGGAAGGGGAGGAAGGGCAGCGCTGAGCAACGGGGGTGCCCCCCATGCCACCCTGATCCCCCCGTGTCCCCGTCACCCACCTGGGGGGCACCGCGCAGGCGGGAAGCGCGTGGGTCCCCCAAGGTGCCACCCATGTCCCCGTCACCCATGTGTCACCTCTGGTGCCACCCGTGTCACCGTGTCCCTGTCACCCACCTTGGTGGCTCCGTGGGGTTTTGCGCAGGGTGCCCAGGCGCTACAGCGGTGCCACCAGTTTGGGCACGCGTTGTCCCCGCCAATGCCACCCCAATGCCACCCCGGTGTCACCCGTGCCACCGTGTCCCTGTCACCCACCTTGGTGGGTGCCACCAGCTCC